TATTGATAATGTAATATTAATTATCTACTAACGTTATATTTTGAGTATCGTCCTATCATAATATAAAGGGACTCCTAACCGTGTTTAAATTATGGCGCGCGGGAATAAGTTCGGCAGAGGGCCCGACGCGTTAGATTAATGGCCGGTTTCTTCACCTCCAGATAAGTTCCCGATAACTTTATCCGAAAGACATCTAGCACAATCGGTTTTCTTCACATCCGTATAGTTCTTATCCGATGGACAAAGTTATCCACCAGCCACAGTAGCAGATATCTGGCAGATATTGAATTCAGCGCCACCAAGTGTTGTTATAGTAAACTACAGCCCCCCACCCCGAATGCTACGTAACCACTCGCGCGTTTTCTATTTTTTTATTCTTGTGAAAATACAAACACAAAAATGGATTTGTTTATAAACATCGATATTTTTAATTATGATGATGACAATGAAGATTATGAATTTCTGGAAAGAAGGCAGTATACAATTTATACATTCTGTGTTAAAAGTTAGTCCCATTGAGGATAGCTATATGTGAGATGCGATACAGTGAAGAAAACGGACATTTTAGATAACTGACAGATATCTTTATCCGGAGGATAGTTATCAGGAGGTGTGGGGATATCACCACCGAGCGTACGCGAGTCGATAGATTGCTTTCTTGCTGGGTATCTGTCCTGGTGAATAGACGTGTTGCAAATTCTCTCAATACCGGTGAGTTCTGAGGTTTGATTAACGTGGAATTTTCCTGGCAATCTTGCCGTCTGTTATCGCTCGCGAATCCTTCTAATTCGAGACTATTTTCGTCATCGGGAAAATTCCGTGGTTATCGTCTCTCTTCCTATTGTAACGAAGAATTGTATAATTTAGATTAGTATTATTGCGTTCTAATTAATAGAGTGATTTCTGGATCCTGGGGTGTGACCACTGAGCCTACGTATCGTTATTGCTTCTCAATATCGAGACGTATCTTAGTAAACATATGTTTGCTATCGTCTTACTTTGCTTCGATTATTTGAAAGAATTACGACTCTGTAAATTTACCTGTTTCTTATTTATTTCATTCTCGCGAATATTAGTTTTATTCACCATTGTCTTATTACTGTTATCTCTTTGCTGTATTCTGTTCAAATTCCGAAATACTGTGATATGCCATTGCATAGCGTTTTCTAGTAATTGTGTTATCGTAATACTCCAACCTTAGGGCTATCGGTCCGTGAAGGATGCGCTGTTAGCTACGTCTATGTAGTACGGTTGCCAGGGCTATCGTACGATTCTTACACGACAAGTACTATTTCTCTTGTAATCTATACGCGATCGATTTTCGACATATCTCTGGGCATATCACTCCCGTTATTAATACTGTCGATATTGTAGTGCAAAACTTTGTTCTTTCGTACCCAAGTATTTCACGTAATTGGAGACCTAGCTATCGAGCGGTCCACCCGTCTGCACTCATTGTTTTTTTTATGTCCTAATAAAGAGGGCTTTGTTCTAATTTGTTCAAATTCGATTCTGTGATTTTTCGTGATTTTGCGAACTCCCAATCAAAGATACCCGCCCCTCTATCATTCTGTTCCGCGGTGAACAGGCTGAGCTAGTGCGTTGTCGACCGATTTGTCGTGAGAGCGGTTACTGGATAACTTGTCTCGTGAAATCGGTATTTCTAGAGAATACCTGGCGCCCAGGTCTTTTGCCGGTTATAGTCTCGATTGTTGCTCTCGCGAGAATTCGTGTACATACTTGTGTACGGGATATTTTGTTTTATTCGCGATTCTAGTTTCACGCCAAATAAATATTCCCGTTACAATGTATAGGATCATATAGGATTAAAGGATGGAAGGATTATGTGTGATCAGTTGCAATGGTGATACGGTTCGTAGATTTGTTCAAACTAGGTGAGAAACCAGAGATGAGTGGGGAGATGCACAACGCTCCGGTTTTAGGCGATACCAAAAGCATGGCGCTAAATCGTAGCGGCGAGTCCGGGAGTAGGATTTCGTGATCATCGCCTCTGTCGATGTTACAGATTTCGCGTAGCCGCGCGGATCATGATCATCGTTCCAGCCGATATTGCAGTCAGCGAAAATGAATGGATTGCTCGGTGGTGGGGAAAAAGTTGCCGCCCCTCACAAACCGTTCTTGACAAACAGGCGGAACAGCAAGGTCTTCCGTCCAACCGAACCCTAAACGTTTGTATGGACGTAATGCGCAAACAAATGTGTATATTCAAATAAATTTCAAAGTTATAAAAAATGCATAGAAATATTGGTTTTCACTCTTTACCTCTCATCATGCCGAAAATGAACATTAAACAAAGAATGGCGAAATTCGTTGGTAAATGAAACGACCGAGAACAGTTCAAAGAGAAATTTTGAAATATCATAGATAAATATCTATGACCCGCAGGTTGTCGTTGTTTATGCCTTTATTGTAATAAAATAAATAAATTAATTGGATACACTCTTTAATCTGTTAATCCCATTTGCAGAACATTAAAAAATGAATGGCGAAATTCGTTGGTAAATGAAACGACCGAGAACAGTTCAAAGAGAGATTTTGAAATATCATACATAAATATCTATAGAAAATTTAATTTAGAATTAAACGAGCATCGTAGCTGAGTCAATAACCTGTCAAGATATACCGCTGCTGGATACGGGTTCGATCCCCCATGAAGAACTCTTTAATCATCTTCTTTTTTTTTATTTTACTACAAAAATTGTTCAAGGTTCCTCTCTTTTAACCTTTCTAGGTTGCCCAAACTTTATTTTAAGTTTATATATATCTTTTTTAATTTTATCTATGATAGAATCGACTAATATTTTAAACGCCCGCTCGTACCGCGCGACCGGCGACTTGAGCGATTGCGGGTCCTCTCTCGCTGAGGGGTCTCCTATTGCTGTTACTGCTGCCGCTGGTTCTTATAATCTTATAAATACTTTTTTATTTGCAATCTTCAGTTCCAGTGCCCAGTGTAAACTCAATAAGATTTACTATGAGAAAATAATGATTAGCTCACTTCATTACCTGGAATCAATAATCTTGAGAATCAAATATGGAAATGACCATTATCTCTGTCTGTAATTGTTCGTCCACGTGGAGAAGGGTGGCGCGAATCGGCTTATACTATTTTTCAAGGTTCCTCTCTTTCAAATTTTCTCGGTTGCCCAAACTTTATTTTAAGCTTATATAAAATATTT